GAATCCAAAACGCGCTGAAAACTACCTGCAAAAAGCTTAAATGCTGACCCCCCCTCAGCATTTAAGGAAATGGTGCAGCAATTAAGATTTTTTAGCGGAATTTTGCTTTACGGCCCTCACGCTGGATTTGTCGGTCCCCTGCAGATCCTCAATCACTGACCCCCCGCTTTGCCCTCCGAAATACTTGCTGACCGCCCCTCAACAACGAATGATTTTCGATCCCAAAATCCTCAATTGCTGAAACCCCCCCCCTCAGCAACTGAGGATTTTCTGGCCCCCCTTCAGCAACTATTTTTTGGCATCACCCCCCCCCCCCCCCGCCCAGCAAAAAATGCTTTTCCGGCCCCGACACCTGCTCAATTGCTGACGTCCCCCCTCAGCAGCTGAAAAACAATGATTTCTGACCCTAATTGCTGACACCCCCTCAGCATTTAAGGCTTTGTTCAGCCCACACAAATCCTGAATTGCTGACACTCCCCCCCGCCCCAAACAAATTCCTTAACTACTGACCCGTAGTGAACAGCTTGTCGGGAAACAGGGCTTTGTTGGCTAAAAAAGGACAAGGACAAGCAGCTTTATTCAGTGAATAGGATTCTGCAAAGGCAACAACAAGTATCCTGTGTACAATCGTCAGCCCGCCCAACATAGCAATTCACAATTTCTGGCCGACCAGCTCCTTAGTTGCTAAAACTTTGCATTGGATGGACAAACCTGACATTGATGACGGCTGGCAACTTTTGGCAGACACTCAAGCCATTACCCTTTGTGGATGAGAGGAAGTTTCGGATTTCAAGAGTTTCATCTACCCATTCAGCAATTCTGGAATTGTTGGTCCCAACAATGTTTCTCTCACCCCCTCGCACAGTTGAGGATTTTGTGGGCCTCACACATCCTGACTTTCTGACCCTCGTCGCATTTGAGGATCGTTCTATATCATGAATTGCTGTCCCCTGATTTGTCTACTTCGACCCTCCAAACCGTTGCTTGATTCCAACTTGCTGGAAACTCAGAGTTTGCGACTGGCAGCATGGACTATACACTTAGTGGCTGAGAAGAAGCTATCAAGGATGGTGGTGGCCAAAGAAACTGAAGGACTTCTGCCCCCCCCCCCCCACTCAGTTAAGAATATGTTGATCATTCAATATTCACAATGGCCCATCCTCAGCGATTGCTGCAACTGCAAAACAGCAAGCAATTAATAAGGCTTTTTGGGGACTCAACCGTCCTTAATCTGAGAGCGACCAGCAACGAAGGACTTGGGAGGGCCGCAAGACTGAATCAGCAATGAACGATTTTTGGGGACCGACGACTCCTGAGCTGCTAGGGCGCCCTTACTGACAGGGGGGTTAGTAATGAAAGATTTATTGGGGCAACTAAATCCTCAATTGCGGGGGGGGGGGGAGGGGCTGCAATTCAGGATTTGTTGGGCTAAAAAACCCACAATTGTTGATGCTGTTTGTTTCATGTGTTTCAGACCAAAAACTGAAATTTCCCGCTTGGGAACTTTTGCAAGGGCACCGTACCTTAATCGCTGACCCCCCTTGAAACCCAGATGAATTACGCAAGTTCACACCAAGCAACTATGGAAACTCGACCACCAAACCAACAACAAAAAACTAAACACGTGTGGAAACTCAACTACTAAACCAACTAAAGACACTGCTGAAAGACTAAAGTGTGGTTTAAATGGAAACCCAACCAACTAAAAGCAACAAAAACAGCAATGGAAACTCAACTGCAAGATAAACGTGTGGTGTGAATGGAAACCCAACCAACTAAAAGCAACTAAAACAGCAATGGAAACCCAACCAAACTAACTAAAAACACCTAAACACCAATGGAAGCCCAACTACTAAACCAACTATGGAAATCCAACTGCTAAACCAACTACAAACACCTAAACACCAGTGGAAACCCAACTGCCACACCAATATATATATATATACACACACACACATATATATATATATGTGTATGTATAAAACACTGCTAAACGATTGACGTGTGGTTTAAATCGAAACCCAGCCACCAAGCCAACTAAAAAAACAAACTAAAAACCAATGGGCCCAACTACCAAGCCAACTATGGAAATCCAACCACTGAGCCAACCAAACGACCAAAAACCTAAAAGCCTATGGAAGCCCAACCGCTACACCAACTAAAAGCCTTTCAAAACCTAAGGAGCCGGGCGATTCGCTGGCTCCGCGAAGCGCAATTCGCCGGGGCGCCTTCGGCGTTGTGGGCCTCGATCTTGGCAAAGTTCTCCGCGAAGGTCGCGAAGCGCGTGGCCCGCTCCGCCTCCGACGCGTAGGACCTGGGCACGGGCGATCCGATCGCCCGTGACGAAGTGCAGCACGCTAGGGGCGCAACAACGAAGGGGGTCTAGATCTTTTTATTTTGGTTTAAATCGTTGTCCATCCCTTGTTGGGTTCCCTTTTGGGAAAGTTAGAGTAGATGTGGGTTCATTGGCCATTGGCACCCAGCGTGTGGTGGGGTTGTTTGCTCTTTGCTAAAAATGGGAACCCAACATGGGAAAAGCAAATGGTCGTTTCAGGTCGATTCGCTTTGAGCAAGTCTGATTTGGAAAAGGCGACCTGGAGCGACACCAAAAAAAGACATGCGCAGTTGGGCAACCGCCCAGGCAAGTGGAAACCACTAAACGTTAAACCAACAAACCTTTCAAAACCTAAGGCACGGGGCGATTCGCTGGTTGAACTGCCAACACTGGTCTCCAGTTGTTCTTTTTTTCCCGCAAGAAGGAACAAATGAAAAAATATGTCCAGTAGTGAAATTTATTCCCTTCAAAAACCAACAGGGGAACCTTAAACCATACGGAAGCTATCCCTAAAAACGGCTCAGTTCTTGATCCCCTCCTCACTTCCCGAGTTGGATTGGGCCAACAAAAGTCCCAACCTTTTCCCTTCACCACCAAAAAAATGCAAGTGAAAGCCCCCAACCTGCTCAAAAGGGACGGTTTTAAGCTCCACGAGCTCCACCCTCTCCGAGTGAAGGCACCGGCCGTAGGTCTTCACAAACTCACCAAAGGCCTTCGCCGCCCGCGTCTCCACGGTCGACCTCTCCGCCTTCGATTCGCGGGGGGGGATGGGGGGGATGACGGGATGACCCGCCGAGGAACGGGGATCCGGATGCATAAAAAACACCTGAACACTGCAACTTGTTTGGTTGCTGCAACGACCCGCCTGCAAAAAGCTTTTAACTTTTTGGGGGTTTCGTGGTTAACCCTTGGGTTTCCCGAAAAGTGAAAGTCTAAAGATCCAACCCAATGGCGGTCAAGCTTGTAAATGGAGGTGTCCATTTCTTGATGTTGGTCTCGAAGAAGCAACATGTTTCAAATGGTTAAGCAAAATGGAGATCTTTTAAGGAGCCCTGAGGGAACGGAAGATGTGACGTGCAGATGTGACGGAAGCGAGCGCCTGGCAGTTTGGCATTACTTGCCTTTCACCCTTTCCAATAAGAACTTGAATTCAAGAGAAGGCTGACTGAGGTCTTCCATGCTAGGGTCTATGATTGCTGGCCGGGGCGTAATCGATGGTAAACAAATCTATCTATGTTTATGCATATATAGATATATACACACCCTTTTTGCATTGGTAAAGTCACACGGTATCTTCCAGTAGGGATCTACAACCAGCAACGGCTCGGTGCGAAACACACATCGTTCAACGCGCAGCGCTATCCATACAGCCAGCCAGCCAGCCAGCCAGCCAGCCAGCCAGCCAGCCAGCCAGCCAGCCAGCCAGCCAGCCAGTTGGATGCAACGCGCAAAGGAGAGATGTCTGGGCGAGGGCATGCATTTCAGTAAGATTGCAGTTCTCTCGAGGATCCTGGTCCTGGCCCCATTGTTCCTTTAAAGGGCACCCTCCTGTCAACATGAACCCCGCCCAGGTTCCACGGCTGCGTGAGTGGAAGGGCAAATTGGTGTGCGTGCTAAACAGGGTCCTTGGAATTGTTTGGGAAAAAAACGGCCCCATCGCCTGGTTGCTGTTGACCCCTCTGCAAAAAGTTGAACTTTTTGTGGGTTTAATGGAAAACCCCCTGATTTCCCTAAAAAGTTAGTCTAAAGATACACCCAATAGCAGTGGTCAAACTAAAAGTCATGGCTGCCATGCGGGGCCAAGGCTGCCTTGGCCTTCACCACGGGGTAGGAGGGCTGATCCTTGATGCCGCACTCGCCGTCCTTGGGCACCCCCCGCTTCATGCGGATGTACCCGTTCTCGCCCCAATTGGCGCCCCAGCTGTTCTTCACCTGCGTGAAAGGGGGAGAAAAAAACAAAAACGTGGACCTTGAGGTATTTGGAGGATACCCATTTCGGTTGGGTGAAAAGGAACACTAAAACCCCACACGTTTTTGTAGGGTTCCGAGATGCCACTTTTGGATACTGGCCTTCCAGTAGTCAACGCCATTCTCTGTGCCATAACCCACCAGCAGCACGCCGTGATCAAGCTTCTTGCCGCACTCCTGGGGCGAGAAATTCCTTTGATGCCAAAGTCACTTTCAAAGCAAACGCCCGAAAGCATGGCAAGCCGCTCCCTAACATGAGGGAGGCACTTTCCGATACCAACGTGGGATCAAAAGTGGCTGGGTTTCAATGACGACCTTATCACTTCAACAGGGGCCCTGTTGATATCGTGGAGGAGTCGGCCGCAAAAGCCCTCCTTCAAACAAAGGACTTTCGGAAAGGCAAACCTTTTGGTGCCCTGGGCAAACGTGTTCAGCTATCCGCTTCGCTCGGGGTGAGAATCCCATGTTTACCCATGGAGACCCAAGCTACTTGGTCCCATGGTTGATTCCCACGACTTTGTCACGTTGAAAATCCCCCCAGCCTCCCGTCGGTGGACTGGTCAGAGAAAGTCTGATTACTAAAATGGTCTTCCCCGACATTTGGTTTAATGTCCGAAACGGAACTCAGGGAGTGAGCGAGTGCAGCGGAATCGCCGCAAACGTTCAGCGCCCAACCACTTCGATAGCAAACTGGTCTACTCCATAGACTTGCTCACGTACCAGGGGAATCCCGGCTATTGCCCGAACACACGCTTTAGGTACTTGGAAGATCGTGATAGGCAAAACATAGATATCCAGATGATCCAGCCCCTAGCAACAAGTCGCTTTATAGAATTGATGTGGCTCTCACTTGTTCGGGCAACCAATCCCTGCTAAGTTGACGTTGAAAGGGGAGCAACAATGAAACTTTTAGGGATTTCAACCACGAAACCACTATAAGCAAAAATTGGAAACATGTTGACCACCATGCCATTGCCCGAAATCGTTTGCCCCTTGCCGCACTCCTGGGTCAGGATGCCGCCCTTGTAGAGCTGGAAGGCCGTCTGGTCCGCCTCGATGGCCACGGACACTGGCTGCTGGGAAACGGCCTCCATCAGCGCGTCCATGTCCTGCAAGGCGACTGGGGTGAAAAGGTTACATGTTGAACATGATGGAACCAATAAGGGTTGAAGCTAAGAGGTCAGTTCAGGTTAAGGTGAGCTATTATTTTCACGGTTTCTGGGGGTTATCAAAGTCAGAAAATGGAATTGGTTGTTTTCCTACCCACCAATTAGGGGGTGACTTTGATCATGGTAAATTCATGAGGGAATCCATCGGCTAGGTGATCGCCTGTTGGGACCTTGACTAAACATGGCTGCGGTTGTCAGAACCGTTTTGGATCCCATTTTGGTAGGTGCACCACCCGTTTTAGAACCTATTTTAGTGGGGATTGGGATATTCACTGGGGGTACGGGAGTTTGACCCATGGCCACATGGGAACCCAATAAGGGTAGAGGCCAAAAGGTTACATGTTGAACATGATGGATTCACCAAGGGCTGAAGCTAAGAGGTCAGTTCAGGTTGGCCAATTGTGAGCTGAGCAAGGTCCAACACTTCTGCCCCACGCCATTGTTGAGCGAAAGGTTGACATGCTTTGCAACCATGAAAGAACCAAAGGGCGCGAGACCCGAGAGGAGTTGTGCACTTGGGTTGTAACTTCTCGCGGTTTGGCGACAAGCGTGTCCTGAGACGACACATCCTTGAAGCCTACGATGGAGCCCTTGGGGACGCCCACGGTGCAGTTCGTCTCGTGGCATTTGCCCTGCTTGGCGGTGTATGGGTAGCTCTGCTCGGTGCAAACATCGTACTTCTCCAAGTACTGGAACGCCAGGTCCATTGAGCCGCCGTTGCAGCCCATCTCCCCGTTGTTGGCGCAATCCACCAGCTGCTGCTCACTTAAGGACACCAGCTTCCCCGAGGCAATCTGCCAAGCACCCTCCAAGGCGCCGGTCGTAGAGAACGACCAGCAAGACCCGCAGCGGCCCTGATTCTTCACCTCGCTCACAGCGCCCTTGCTGGTCCAGTCGATGGAATCTGGCGCCGCCTTGCCGCTGAACCTTACTTGCCACAAAAAAGCTCATGACTGACAACCTCTCTTTTCCATACCTGGTATAGTTCAAAAGCCAGAATCAAGCCCTCCCTCCAGTTTGCCCATATATTCATCCCTGCTCATGCGCTCCATCCCACATGATGGGAAAATGACGGGGAGTCAAAGCAGGAAAAGGCAACTTCAAGAGGCAGCACTTATGATAGGTTCACTTCATGTCAAGGTAGGTCAAGTGCAATTTCCGGCTGGCACATGTAAACCTGCTTGCTCCTTGTTCAGTGGTTTGTCTAGATAACCCCTGCTTCTTTGCAATCCGTCCCACCCCCCACCCCAAAAAAAAAGGGGAAAAAAAACAGCCAACGTCCCTTGGCTGGTTCTCTCCGAGTCGCTCGTCCCGGCCCAGGTAGGGCAGGTCCGCCCAGGGCCTCGTAGACTTGGCCAGGCCGAAGCGCCCGGAGGCGAACTCCTCGGGCGCCTGGTCCGCGAACTCCGTGACGCCCAGCTGGTAGCTGTGGCCTGACGACCGGGGTCCCTGGAACCCAACGGGCGAAAACCCGCCGAGGGGAATTGGGCTCTGGAAATGCCTGCAACCCCCCACCCCCAAGAAAATGCCGGGTGGCATTTTAAAGGGCCCCCCCCCAATTCACAAACCTATTTGTATATAATATTTATACACCTATACAGCTTATACATGTGACTGTCTAAGGTACCCTTTTTCAGGTTGGTTCATGAACACCAACAGGACAACCACCCATTTGGGGGGATCCACATCCCTCTTCTCTCAAACACTATCCCATTTGGCTGGGTCAAACATAGGCTCCCCAAATGCAACCCTTAAGAACAACCTGCGGTGCATATCCTAGCGGTTTCCATAGGTGTCCTTTTAGGGCAAATAGATGGCCCTGGTAGATGATTAACGCACCAAATAAACCAGGGCCATCTATTTTTCCACAAAACCACACCAAAAACCAAAACCACACATCAAAACCCAGCAAAACCACCAAAAAGGACACCAAAAACCAAAACCCCACATCAAAACCCCTAGCTTACCAAAACCACCAAAAAGGACACCAAAAACAAAAACCCCACATCAAAACCCTTATTTGTTCCACCAAAACAACCAAAAAGGACACCAAAAACAAAAACCCCACATCAAAACCATTATTTTTCCACCAAAACCACCAAAAAGGACACCAAAAACCAAAACCCCACATCAAAACCTATTTTTCCACCAAAACCAAGCACACCAAAAACGGTTTCATTTTTCTTCCATCGCAGGCTGCAAAGCACCGGCCTTGGGCATTGTGGGCCTCGATCTTTGCAAAGTTCCTGGCGAAGGTCTCGAAGCGCTTGGCCGTCTCCGCCTCCGACGCATAGGACCTGAGCGCTTGCGGCTGTGGTTCAAACAAATGTGCCCAAAATTGCACCTGGGTAAATGGAAACAAAGACTAAATAAAACCTGCGGTTTGCCCCGGCTGTTTAATTTCGAGCCACGCCCAATACCAATATTAATATGTTTTTTCATGGAACGCCCTCTGGTGGACATCATTTTTGTTGGCATTTGTGCCCAACAATATGGGAAATTAAACAGCATATGACCATATGGGTCATTCCCGTGAGCGCCTGACGACTGTGTCGCTCTGAAGGGGATTGCCTTAGGCATACTCCGCATTGGCTCCAAGGTTTCCCTGGGTCCATCGAAGTGACATCCTGAATCCTCAGGATAGCTCGTTCCTAAAAGGAGCATGGACCCCCCGAAGTTCAGTTCGATGTTGTTTGTGGGAGGGAAACGGCGAGAGCGATTGCGACCATCAGGGAAGTGGGCCAGTCGGAGCATGCCGGAGCCCTTGCCAAAGCACCATGGATGCAAGTGGCGTCCTGGAAACGGTTTCTATCAATGAGGAAATTAAGAGGCTTGACTCCCCTCAACCCCCCAACCGAACCCCGCAACCCAACCCACCCACACAATTCACCCCCTCAACCCACCCCCCAACCCCCCTCAACCCACCCCGGTTGCCCTTGGACTAGGGCTACCCTCAGTGGCCTTCCAGGCTCTGTTTTGGGTCTCTTGATTTCGGGGACCTAACCCGAAAAGTTGTTGAATTTCCTGGTGGTTTCAACCTTTCCACCAGCCCCAAAAAGGGTACCAGCGCAAAAACACATTCTGACCCATTCGGACAAATGCAAATTGTGTTAGGTCTATTTTGTCGTAGCATCCTGAAAGCTACTGGGTAGCTACGCAGGGTTCCTCACATTTCCAAGCTAAACAAACCACCCCCAAGCGAAACTCACCGCAAAACTGTGCCAAAAGGGTGATGTGAAAAACAAACAAGGGAACCACGAACCCCCTGCTAAATGGTTACATGCAGGAAACCACCCCACTCAACGGGAAAAATCAACAACGAAAAGCAAAAATCGCCTTCTCCTCCTCTTCCCACTTTTCTTTTTTTTTTTTTTTGGGGGGGGGGGTGGGTGGGACTTTTGCATGGGGCGTCCATTGGGCCATGGCCTATCGATTTTCTCCGGGGAGCTTGTGGAACTTGGCCCGGAAGGCCGCGAACTCCTTGGCCACGTCGGCGCCCTCCGCCAGGGCGGCGAGGAAGAGCATGCCCAGGCCTCGGAGGATCCGATCCCGACGGATTTTGGGGGTGGGTTGGGGGTGGTGGGTTAAGGGTGGTGGGTTGGGGCGGGTTGGAGGTTGGGTTGGGGGGTTGGGGGCGGGGTGGGGTTGGTGGAGGGGGTGGTGGTGTGGCTGGGTTGGGGGGTTGGGTTGGTTGAGGTCGGTTGAGGTGGTGGGTTGGGGGGGTTGGGGTGGTGGGTGGGGGGGTTGGGTTGGGGTTGGGTTGGAGGGGTTGGGTTGGGGGTGTTGAGGGGGTGGTGGGTTGGGGGGGTTTGGGTTGGGGTTGGGTTGGGTTGGGGGTGTTGAGGGGGTGGTGGGTTGGGGGGGTTGGGTTGGGGCGGGTTGGAGGGGTTGGGTTGGGTGGTTGAGGGGGTGGTGGGTTGGGGGGAGGGGACTGATGGGCTGTTGGGCTGCGGGGCTGTTGATGCGCTGTTGGGCTGCGCTCTGTTAATTTGGGCTTGGCTTTCTGCTTTCTGTTGGCTTGTTGGGGTGTTGGCTCTGGGCTGCGTTGGGCTGTTGGGTTGGCTGTTGGGCTGGTTGGGCTTGGCCCCCCCAACCCACCCCCAACCCTCAACCCACCCCCAACCCACCCCCCCAACCCAACCCACCACCTCGCCCAACCCAACCCAACCCCCCCCCTCAACCAACCCAACGCCCCCCCCAACCCCTCCAACCACCCCCCCCAACCCACCAGGGCAACATGAGAGGTGCCTGTTCTGTTCGTGTGTGTCCTTGAAACTGACACAGGAAACGGCGGTGAAGTTTGAGAACCTGCTAAAAGCGAGAGGTAACTTTTGGAGGTTGATTGTAAAATGACCCGCGGCCTTCCGTTGAGGGCATCCTTTAAACCCGCCCACCCCCTCAACCAACCCAACCCCCCAACCCAACCCCTGCAACCCACCACCCCCTCAACCAACGCAACCCCCCCAACCCCAACCCAACCAACCCACCCCCCCCCCCCCCAACCCACACACCCAACCCAACCCCCCCAACCCACCACCCCCTCAACCAACCCAACCCCCAACCCAACCCCTCCAAGCCCCCCAGCCCACCGTGGGTTGGGGGTGGTGGGTTGGGTGGGTTGGTTGACTTCAAGTGCACCTCGTCCAAGACCTTCTTACAAAAAGGGCACTTCTCCAGGGTGGCTGCTGGACCTGCTCCTCGGTGATCTCCGGCACCTTCATCTCGGGTGTCTCCATGTGCTCAGTGAAGAGCTTGGCCAAGAGATCTTCCTTCTGGTTCTCCTCAAGCTGCTGGAGCAGGACCTCCGAGTTCCCCTTCCGGTACTTCTTCACCATGTCCATGACCTCGACCGAAAGGCTGTCTGCTTCCTTTGTCATGATCCCTTTGTGCACCAGGGATTTCCTGGCCTGTTTGGCCTGGCGCCCAGGGCCTCTTGCATGTTCCGGTTTGCTCTGGGACCTCTTGGTGGTGGATGTCTCCATATCGGAACCCGGGTCTTCCACAGGGCCGAAGCATTCGCAGGCCGAATCCTTCGCATGGGTGACCCCAAGACTAAGACCTCACAAAATCCGCCGATTTCGTTAAATCTGCAAAATCGGCAAAACCAGCTCTCAGCTCGCAGGGCTCTCGTCCTTCACGTAAAACCTCGGCGCGGGCAAGGCGCTTCCATCAGCTGGGCTATGGGGGCTATCGGATAAGCCAAGTCATCTGCTCCGGAAAAAGGAGATTCGCGCCTTAGGGATTGCTCCTTAACACGATGCTCCGTCTGCTGAGTGACAGGAACAACAGGCATTGCTTGAACCGGAGTCCTACACACTTTGGGATACAACGCTTTGGCGATCAAACCACACATTTGCTCAGAGTAGAAAGCAGTGCGGGATGTTCGGCTCCCTGGAGTATGTGTTTCGGACTTTGAGTGCGGACACTGGCGATCAGCGAATGCTTCGGCAAGGGCCTTTGATGTAGTTTTGATGTGCCAAGGCTTCTTGATGGGTGAACCATTTTCATCCGTCAAACCAACAGCACAGCCATGAAACGAAATACCATGGAACACATCCTTGTGGCGCTCGAAAAACTCGGCAACATCTGGCCTCTGCCAACCTTCGCAGTCATGCGGCCACTCGAAAGTGACTGATCCACCAGCCGTTAAAACATGCTCGGCGTGCAATGCAAACTTTGAAAACATCACTTTGGATTGCTTGACTTTTTCCCCTAACTTTCTCTTGAACGGCTTACCTAGCCTGTGGAAGTTCAGCCTCTGCCAAGGTGATCCTGAGACGGATGCCCACAAATTAGGTCGGACGCACTGCGAGAGTTGATACGCGAGCTGCTCATCCGCAACGGCTGACTCTAAGTCAATGTACTCTTTTGCTAATCGGCCATGTGGGATGTTGAGATCCTTGAACACATTACCCATTGAGGAATTAGGTGAACAAGCAAATTCAAACATCGGGTTAACAGCATCACGCGATAGGCGCTTGCGAGCACGTTTGTTGCCCACGGTAAACGGAGGGCGTTCATCGCCCCCCTGAAGCTGGCAAGGGTTACCGAAAACGGATGGCTTCTCTTTCGTGGTCTCAGCAAGTGTTGTGCTGGATGCGGTTGACACTGTGACGGCTGCTCCTGAGCTGACTGGGATGTTGCCCTCGTGAGGACTGAGCCCCCCTGCTGCGCTTAAAGCTGGTTGGGTTGGTTGAGGGGGTGGTGGGTTGGGGGGGTGGGTTGGGTTGGGGGGGCGAGTTGGAGGGGTTGGGTTGGGGGGTTGGGTTGGTTGAGGGGGTGGTGGGTTGGGGGGGTTGGGTTAGGGCGGGTTGGAGGGGTTGGGTTGGGGGGTTGGGTTGGTTGAGGGGGTGGTGGGGGGGGCGGGTTGGAGGGGTTGGGTTGGGGGGGTTGGTTGAGGGGGTGGTAGGTTGAGGGGGTTGGGTTGGGGGGGCGGGTTGGAGGGGTTGGAGGGGTTGGGTTGGGGGGTTGGGTTGGTTGAGGGGGTGGTGGGTTGGGGGTTGGGTTGGGTGTGTGGGTTGGGGGGGGGTGGGTTGGTT